CTATTTAAAACTGCGCCAGCGGCTGCTGCCGAGCTGTTGTTGGTCGAAGGCGGGAGTTCTGAGGTGTCTTTGATCTGAGAGCTCAAGAGGAAAGGAGCAGATTGGGATGCACTGTCCTCTGTCCTTACCCTTGGGCGGGTAGCAGCGGACTTCGCAGGCGTGAGTGTCGCAGTGCTGGTGGCAGCGTCAGCGGAAAAGCCCGCCCGCGGTGAAGTCGCAGGTCTGGCTCAGCGTCTGAGGGAGCGAGAGTCTCCTTACTGGGCGCCTTTGCGTCTCTGGTGAACCCATTTGTTGTGGAGCGAGAGGGGTTTTGGGAGGACCAGCGATTACTCCTGCCTCTCTCTTAGCCGTCATTTTGGCGGCTTTTTTACTTCAGGGGATTTCGGCCTTGGCAGTTTGGGAGCCGGAATTGGAGAATGTTTGGTGAATCTGGAATGGGTGGCTGCGTCGTCTCCGCGCTTGACTGGTAAGATGTTTCTCGTATTGGTCGGAGCTGGCTGTAAACTGCGCTCGGCCCGATGGAGTCGTCATTCTCGGCGATCCTTGTGTGGTTAGATGTTACACACAATGTGGCCAGTGCTCAGCACTGGGATGCTTGGATTTAGGTTTTGTGGCAATGTCGAGAAGTGATTCAGTCAGGGTCCCTTTCTTCACGGACTGCCCACAAGAGGGAGAGACAGCCAAGTCAGAACTGCGTGTTATGAACGGCAAGCGCTGAAGAATTGACGGGGAGCTAGCTCCATGGAAGAGATGAAATTGCGAAATGGATGACATTTGGTCAAATAGGAGCAGAGATGTATTCTTAATTGGCGAGAGGGCAAATAAAAGATCATGTTTGCAGAAACATCACAGGCAGGAAGAGCAGTTGGGTGATTCTAAGTCTAGGATGGGGTGCATGTTTGAGTATAGGCCAGTGGTTCTTAAGCTTTTAAAGAATTTCTTCATCCTCCAGTCTCTGCTAGATATACATGAACACAACATTTTGCTTACAACCTTGGACTGTGTACAGAATGCTAGCTTTTGGAAAGGCCAAATGTCCATGGATGTCAGACAGTGAGCCTGGACAGGATCAGATAATATGATCAGATAAGTAGCACTTTGTAAGCATTGGCTTCATTCAGAAGATGAGTGAGAATTGTGGTGTCCATGGAGAGACTAGTCCTAGATTAAGGAAAGGGGCCAAGATTGGAAACAAGGTAAGTGACTAATTGAGAGTGAAAGTGAAGATGGATTATGTGAGGACTTACTTATTTGCCATAGGGTGTGTTCTCTCTCCAGAGAGACACAGAGACAATAAAAGTGAGAAATCACCCCTCAAGGGAGATGACCAGACCACAGTCTCTTCTGGGATTTTGAGCATGCATGCACAGGAGCCTGGTGTAATTTTGAAGTGACTGGGTCTGTAACTCCAACTGTGATTGGCCATATGAGAGTCCAGCATCTTAACTACTCCACTACCCTGGCTCTTGTATTTATCTTATTAAGAGATATGTCAGAATTTGATAAGGTTAACTTTGTAGATGTGAAGGTGAAGTTGAGAGAAGAGTAAAAGGCAACTAAAGTATTTTTTTTTTTTTTTTTTTTAGTGGAAGGAAATGAGGGGGGGGAGGGGAATTTTTTTTTTTTTTTTTTTTTGAGAGGTTTTTGCTACAGGGCACGTGCGCTTGCCAGACAGACAGAGAGAGACAGAGAGATAGAAAGCGAGAAATCACCCCCCCAGAGGTGATGGCCACGCCGCAATCCCTTCTCCTCCATTCTCCTCTCGGGATCTTGGGCACGCATGCACACGTGCCCGGAGTGAGTTTAAGCCACCGGGTCCGGGACTCGAACCACGGTCGACTATGTGGGAGTCCAGCGACATAGCCATTACACCAACTGCTGGTCTCGGTGGAGTGGAATTATTACTAAGCAAACCGGGGGCAAGCCCTATGGACTGGTAGTTAAGAAAGCCAGATCCTGCATGGCTGACTGTACTGTTGGAGTCCTGAATCCCATGGCTTGAGAAACTTGCCAGTACATGTGCACACGGGCCCCACATCTCAGCAGGATGGGGAAATGGAGGAGAAAAGATTGTAATGTGACCACACTCCATTGAGGGCTGCGCTTGCCACTCTGCCGCATGAGTGCACATATATTCTGGGGAAAAAAAAGGCTGAGTGAAATAAGGTAGTTGAAAAAGAAAGATTGGTTAAATGTGGTGTGAAATAATGATTAATTTTGGGACCGGTAGATGGCATAATGGCTACATTGCTGGACTCCCATGTAGTTGACCATGGTTCGAGTCCTGGACCCCGTGGCTTAAACTCATGCTGGGCGTGTGCGCATGCATACCCAAGATCCCAAGAGGAGAAAGGAGGAGAAGGGATTGCGGAGTGGCCATTCCCCTGTGGGGGTGAT